ATCACAGTTTCTATCTAAACAAATTGCAGATCCTCGTTTGGGAATTGAAAATTGTTTTATTTCCGCTGTACTTATTAAGTAAATTCCCAACAGTTGGTGTATGTGGATTTTACTATTCTAGTCACTCTGTGTCCAAAATATACCAATCAATGGCTGATAAAACAAAGTTCAACAAATCACTTATTACCTGGTATAAATCCTCCTAGGTTTTTTGAAAAGTTTATATAAGCTAATAGAAATTTTTCGAGGTCTTATACTTTCTTGATATGCAGCTTTCTGTTGTGTGTTCTAATATATGAACGTGTCTCGATCATGGGCTTTCTGATATTTGGACAAAGTACATTGTCCCAGATAACCTTGAATATACCACCTCACTCAGTCGTTTCAAATATCGCACTATGGACAACTTTGGGTATCGCACTTGGGGATTTTTTTTTTTTTGTGACTCGAGTGTCCGAATTTCGCCCGATCAATCCTGAGGAGTGTTGGTCTTCCCTCCTGGTTCGCAGCCCGGATAAATTCGAATGCAGTCACAACTTATACACACTTAGACCGAACATTCGAGAAATGGTTCTCCTCCCTGTAGATCTCATTTTTATGACGTGTGGACGGGATCCCTGGAGGGGCGACAAAGTGCACCATAACTTTGCCACCACAAAACATCTACCTTCCAAAATAAATGTTGCCTTCCAGCTGTAGCGGGAATTCAAACCTCCGATACTCTGTAGAGAAATCCTCCTGTTTTACCACTGCGTCATGCCCGTGGAGGCCACTTGGAGATATTTTTACATAGATTTAGGCAGTTTTCTGACGAAATTTTTGCTAAAGCTTTTTTTTTTTTTTTTTTGGTTTTTAACTTCAGGTTATCAACCCATTCACCAAATATCCTTTTTAAGTCAATACTTGATACTCGAGTTGTGCACGAGTCCATTCTCAAAATTTGTTTCTTCATTATTGATGAATCCTTTGGCCAGGAGCATAGAAGAGTTGCTGCTACATATCAGGATCTCTAGTAGTTTCTGGTTTTATATTCTCCTGAGGACGGCACTTGTCATCTCTATTGTCTGTGTTGCTTTTGTTCTTCCTTTCTTCTGTATGCCTCGGAAGTCACTTCCCACCTTGAATAATTCTAACAGTAATCGACCAAGTTTTTCTCCGCCATTGGATTTAGTAACTGTGCTATTTTGCAGGTCTTGTGATGGCTCTCGTTGGTTCTCTTCTTAGTATACTTGTGGTATAACTTGGTTTGACTTCCTCCTTTGCATACTACAATTTCTAGACTTATTCCTCGAATCCTACAATTTCTGTCACACAATTTAAGATTATGAAATATTAGTTGCATCGCAATGTGAAGTCATATTTACACTTGTTCAGATGGTTGTCAGTACGAGCATAATTGCAATGGGCGTTGTGGGTGCAATTCCCGGCACATACTCATCCTTGTTTGAATTGCAAAGAAGTTTCGAAACTTTTGCATGTTCGTATAACTTTGTTTCACCTCCAATTATCTTTGCTGAATTACTCGATAGTAATTATCTTTGCCTTCAATGCAGAATTCAAATGAAAAGCTCTGGTTCTCGACTCTCAAGATTTTTATAACGTCTCAACTGACATGCACCAATCAGTCTACCTCGAGGAGGAAGACTCGTATCATATTGTTTACATATTTACATTAGTGGGCTGTGTTGGGTGGTACTTACATTTGTATTGGAAGTTTCCAAATCTGGGAATACTGCTATCAAATGTACATTCCAGAAATAAATTTAGATAAATTTTAAACTGTAAAGTTGGAAATTCCACTAATTTAATCACCCTTTTGTAATTTAATAATTATAATTTACCCCTTTTATTTATGGGAAAAGCCCATTGGACAAGAAAAACTGTCAGGGTGCAGTTACAGAGTTGTTTTGGCAGCCCCTGATTGGTTTTTGTTCTTTTTCTTTTTAGACTTTTCAATGAAAAATTGTCACGCGTTTTCTTGCAAAAATATTCTATAATGGAGGCTATTTATGTAACACAATTGTTTATTTATTCGTGGCCAAAAATATTGGACCTGCCCTTCCTCGACACACACTTTTACACCAAGTTTCCCAAAATTTCAAGGGCAATATTGACTTTGATCAATGAAAAGGTCATTTGAAAATGACATGAAGATGTGAAATCATTAATGTGCGTTTGATTGTAAGGATGAAAAATGGGTGGAAAGAAAATGAATTCTAGAAAAAATAATTGTTTAGAAATTGTTTTAGAGGGAATTGTTAATTAAGTGTGTTTAATTCGTATAATTTTTCACCTAGAAAATTTTTAAATTTTGTGTTCGTTTAACTTTGTTTTACATAGAAATTGTCTATTAAAGTGATATTTTTTTTCTACAATTGGTTATAAAATTTATTTTCATTGCCAAAAAGTCAAAAAGAAAAAAGAAAAAAAATTGTTTCCTAAAAAATTATTTTTTTATGAAAGTTTAGTATTCGTTTGACTATATTTTATATGAAAATTGTTCATTAAAGTGAAATTTTTTTTAACAATTAATTATGAAATTTGTTTTCATTGGAAAAAAAAATGAAAAAGAGATCAGAACTTGGAAAACAATTTTTCCACCAAAACCATTTCATCCATTTAAGGGAAAAGGGGGTGCGTGGGTCTAGGTTGGGAAAAAATTTGGACGGTAAAATTTTGTCCATCAAACATCATTTTTTGAGGAAAATGAAATTTGTTTTCTAACTTCCAAGTAAAATAATGCCAATCAAACATAAAGGAAGATTAGGGAAAGAAATGTATAGTATTTTGTGACGGAGAGACGACCTAGACACCAAAATTGACCGACTCGCTTGCCAAATACCGGCTCTGATTCGTTCGATGCCCTTCCCACGGAAATTTGTGCCCAGAAAAATTACTAATAGAATAAGAGGTAAAACTCTGTGGGCTTTTTTGGAGAACACAAACAAGAATTTGAGGAGTAATGCAGAATTTTCTTGTGAATCAAAAGGGCAGCTTGTGAGGACACCTATAAATCTATGTTGAGAGAGATTGGTATTCATATTCAAGGAGTGGGTATTGATTTGTTTTGCATATAAATGTCTGAATTGGTGGCTCGGACGGGACGGCAGCAGCAGCGTTATAAGGATGGCTATCGCCTTATTGCGGGGTAATTGCTAGTCTCCCTCTTGTCCTTGTCTAATGAATACATTCATGCATGCATATGCGTGTGTGTATGTGTGTTGTACGAGGTGCGAATCAACTGGCTCCGCTTTGGATTTTGTTTAATTGGGTTTTGATTGGTTGTCTTGGTATTGGGTTTTGTTTAATTCTGGAAATGGTGAAAGCTCTGGCTTGGATTTTTTGTATGATTTGATTATCAATGTGTTTTCCGGGATATTGTTGAAGTTGGAGACTAATGAGAGATAGTTGGCTCGGATTTTATGTGCATTTTATTGTCTAGGCGTTTTTTTCTCAACTAGGCTTGCTTGGATAGGAAAAGCATTGGGAATTTTTTTTCAAAATCAAGATTTGGGTCATTTTTCTATTCTCTGTTTTTTGGTGATTTTTTCAATTAGGTTATAATCCTTGATTTTTGGTGCTGAATATTAATCATATGTTATTTGTTGAAATTATGGTATATCGACTTTTTCGTTACATTAGCTTTAAAAACTGAATAATAACCAGTAGAGTCATTAATCAGGTGTATTCCCTTCAAGTACAGCAATGATGAGGAAGAAAATGGTGGTGTCCCTTCTAAAAAGATTGCTGAAGTACTAATGATCAACTCAAATAGTGGACCTGGTCTTCTATTTCCAAAGGTGAGATCAATAGATGCATTGAACTCCAGACTAGCAAGACCTATATTGGAGGACACAGAACATAAACAGACAGTCTTCTGATAAGAATGCTATCTTTTATATCTTCTATAAGGAATTGTGTGCTTGTGTATTCTTATATGATCGGTGACTTCACAACATCCCTTCAAGTGAATGTTTTATCATGACTCTCATGTCCTCTTGACAATTGAAAGGGCTGCTTTTAGACAACCCAATTGGGGTAAACTAGGATAACTTTTATGATCCTCTTCATGCATATCAATTTTGCACCTAGATTTTATGTGCAATTCTTGAAGTAGTTTTGAAAGTATGTAGTATTGTGATCGGACATGTTCATTGGTGTTAATTGTTTGATATTTTTCTAGAGGATACAGGTTTGTATATTTGAATACATGTATTAGCCATGGCAATCTCATTTTTGAAGCAATTTATGAGGTTTTTTTTTTTTTTCATTCCAATGAAAATCCTTCAGAAGCTAGAATACAATATTAAGCAATAATTCAAGTGCATGGTTGTGTTATATACATGCATTTGGTTGTATGTCTATTTATTTATCTGTGCAGACAATCCGTGCTTAATTCATTATTCTCAGATTTTGTTGAATCTGTGACACTTGTCAAAAAACTCTAAATGTGAGTTCTTTGAAGCACCGAGTACCTTAGCCGGATGAATGGAAAAATGGCACTAGTTAAGGCATGGAGGATATGCTTATTACTTTGCACTGCATTGAACGTTTGTTTTAGGTACTTGAGTACTTCAAGATATATTCCTTTTGTTGTAGTATGAAAATTCCATATTTAATACAAAACATTAAGTTGAGTTGATTGCAAGTTGCTATAAAGTTTGACCCTTTATGTCACAATTGATCACCACTGTACCATAGAAATTGAAGGAAAAAGCTACAAATAAATAAATGTTGTCCATGTGTCCAGAGACAAGAAGGCGAAATAATTTGGATAAACTATGCAGCTGAGGTTTCAAAGGGAAGACAGAAGAATATTCCTTTATTCATGCTCTTGTATTATTTTGCAATATAGGGTGGGTGGGAAAATGATGAAACAGCTGAGCAGGCAGCACTACGGGAAGCCATGGAAGAGGCTGGAGTTCGTGGGGATTTAATGGTAAGAACAAATAGTGTCTGCTTGTTTCTTTTCTTTTTTTTTTTTTTGCTGTACCATGTTTTTATGATGTCTGGATCTTGTATTCCTAGTTTGCTTGATGTAACTTTTTTTGCCACTTTTTAAGGAAGCGCATTGCATCAATCTTGTACTTAATTTTTTATGTGCACATAAGATAATGAAATATCAAATATATTTGTGAGTAAGCAAAGCCTTGTGCTGAGTACTTGGGCGATTTGTTCACTGTTTGAGTACCTGTATGCATGAAGTTATAATTTAATTAAAAAAAATGTGATTTTTCTGGGGAGTGCAAAGGTGTGAATTGTGGTTGACATGCTCTTTTGTGCACTCATTTGTGGTTTTTCCCTTCGTTAGTTATTATGTAACTTCGAATAAAAAGAGCCGTAGCACTTCTACAATTGTCTATATGTATTGCTGCATGACTAAGAATCATTGAAAAGCTATTCTATCCCTTTTGGGTTATTTTCTGCATTCTATTGCTTTCTTTTATCAATATTTGAATTTATGGATTATGAATACAGCTTAGAAACACCTTTTCTCTAATATATATTTTCCTAGCACAGAGCTTGTTGATTTCTTCCCTCTAGAGTTGAATGGGTTCATTTGATCTGGCAAGGAGTTTCAAGAATTGCACCTAAAATTTGTCTCTCTCAAGTTTTGAGTGCAGTTAAATATGTACTCGTACATGGTAAAACAAACAGTAGGGGGCGTACTCGATAAGGTAATTAAAAGTTATTAAAATTAAAGACGTGTAACAAAAATTGCATAGTATATACTAGCAAAGATCTATCATAGTTTATTTGATTAGTTTTCAAAAGATAAAAATATGTTACGTTGTTTTGTAAGTTTACGTGCCATCGAAGTAAGAAAATTTGAAACAAAGCCCCCAATTTATTAAATTGTATAGATACATTTTAATTCCTCCCTCCAAACTGTATCCCTATCAGCCCCATTCTCAAATTATTTTAACATTTTTTTTTCTGTAGAAGTACTTAACCAGTTGCTTGAAAAGAGCTATGCCATATAATATTTTATCATGAATGGGAAATGAGTGCTCAGAATAAGACTTAGTAGTTGTCTGTTGTTGAATTGCAAAATTTACGAAGTAGAGGAGAACAAGCCGTCCTCCAGTACATAAGCTAAGATGAAGGAATAACGCAGTTGCACAAATAAACATATCTCCAATCATGTTCTACATTAGTGACTCACTTGGAAATAACTGCACAATGGAGAAAATGTCATATTGTAATGAGACCGATCCACTTAATTCTATATCTTGGTCGAGTTCAAGCTTGAAATTGATGGGTGTTCCCTGAAGTAAAACTAAGACAATAAAGATGTAAAAGGATTTTGGGCTACCTTCAAGGTTTCTACTTTGCTTCTAAATTATTAGAAACTGTAATAACCAATTCTGGATGGTGAGATGGTTTTAGTTGGGATACTTCTGAAAAGAGGATTTACATTCAAGGAAACTTTGTACATCAGGCTACTTGCTTTTCTGTATCCATAGTAAGATAAGAACAGAGTATAAGTTTCGGGCTATGGTTGAAATACCCATGGAGATGTATCTGAAGTTCATTACTGACTTTTGGGAAGATTCTAGATTTTTCCACTTGCAGCCAGCTTTAGAAGAAGAAAGAAAAATCCACATCCATTCTAGAGCTTTCCAGCCTCCACCGCCATGGAAGGATTTATCCAGAATTTTGTTGAAGTCTCCTTCACTGACAATAGCTTAGTATATATGTGTGTTTACTCTCTCATTACCACCTACTGGACTGTTGAATGGGCCTTGTCAAAGATAAACTAATAGGTCTTTGAAGAAGAAATATGTACAACTGTAGTACTGTCTGTTCTTGCTGTTTCCTCCACTATGTCCTTATTTTTATTTTTTAGTGGTGGCGGTTTTGTGGTTCCATATATTATTTTTTGAATGGCTGTTCTGTGCTGCTGCATTATAAAACTTTTTATTACTTGTCTATAATGGACGCACTTCATTGTTTTAATGTAGAATATAAAAAACTATTTCAGTTTTTTTTTCCCTGTTTTGTTCTTTGGAAATTTTCACTTATGGCCCCGAACTTTCATTTAATTTGCACTTGGGTCTCCAAATTCAAATATTCTTAGCTCATGGCTTCCCAAACTTCAACTTGTGGTGCAAGTTTCCATCCAAAAGCTGATAAAACCATGTGGCTAGCACACGAGGCAGTTTTTAGGGTAGTTTTGGGAACTCAGCTCCCCCCTCCCCCTCCCCCTCCCCCTCCCCCTCAAGGTTGTCCATCTCTTTCTTCTTCTGTGTCTCATTCTGTCTTTTTCATCTCTCTATATTGTCCAAAGTCACAATAGAATCACTCTCCCATTCCCTCTTTCATAGGTGATGCTCTCTCTTCTCTTCCACCTCTGTTCTCCGTTTCTTCTTGAATACAACATTTGTTCTCCATTATGTAGACTCATATTTCGTCTGATGGGTAACTTACAAACAGGCCTTCGGCATGAAGATACCATTTTTTAGCCAATATTCGGACAATTACGTGCAGTATCAAGTCTTCCAGCTATCAATTAAGTTCAAGGAACAGAGGATGAGCCACTATGTACCCAAAATATGTATTGCTCTATTCCCCATGTCAAATTCAGAAATTCGAAGAAAAGAAATCATATTAAACGGATCTTGAAGCAGGTGCAGATATTATGCTATTGCATAATTGCAAAAAGATCTATAATAGTATATAATTATACAAGAAAAGGTTACAGGGTGAAGAGTGAATTCTAAAAACTCTGTTGCAGAAAGCAATTGAATGACCCTGTTGTTATGATGCTGTTGTTTCTTACCATGTACAATACGGCTTTTCTAACATTATCAATTAACAGTGTAATTTTTGTTTCAGCATTTCCTGGGATATTACCCTTTCAAGAGTAAAACGCAGGATGAATTCAGTCCAGAAGGTTGGTGTAAAGCTGCCATGTATGCTTTGCTTGTGAAGGAGGAACTCGAGTCGTGGCCTGAGAAGAACCATCGACAAAGAATTTGGCTAACTATTCCCAAGGCTATTGAAAGTTGCCGGCATGCATGGATGCGAGAGGCTCTTGAGAAAGGGTTTTGGAATTGGTATGCTGACGGTATGATTCACACATTGCCAATAAAAGATGTTCCCAAGTCGTCTTCTAATAAGTGTTGAGAATTTTTTAGACATTAATATAGCTTGGTGCCAGTTTGTTTTGATCCTCTTTTTGTTGCAAGGGCTAGGAAGTGAACGAAGATAAAAATGGTACGTTCTCTTGTCATGTCATAGGTGTTTGCCATGTTTTGATCTGATATTTGGTTCCTTTTAACATTTTCTTTCTCCTTGCAATGAAACCATTAGAAAGAAAACTTGAAAGGATGAAATGAAAAATGTTTAGTTTTTCATCATAGCTTCATATTATCTTCAACTGCTAAATCCATTGATCTCCTGCCTTGCTGTTTCTCTTTTGTTTCCTAATGAAAGGCCATTTCGTGAGATGATGCATCTGAGATGCTCGACTTACCTTTACACACTAAATCACTAATACTATACAGTTCTTATTCTGCACATGTATAAGGCTATATGAGCCGTTCACTTACATTACAATATACTGAATTTTTTTTATTTTTTCCTTTGAGAAGATACGAGGTTGCACGTAGTTTGAGCGCACTGCAAAATTAAGTCTTGTTTTTAATAAATTTAAAATCATTAACATACATTTTTATTTTATTTTTTTGTCATTTACTATGATTTTTAAAGCTATTGAAAGATGTAAAGCACAATTACATATAATGTCACTGTTAAATATCGAAGCACTTGTTAATTTTAATAATGTCCAGCAAACTTTGCAGGGGTACACTTTGAAAGATGTTAATGAAATTAAATATCAATCACGAAAATGAGAAAACATAAATTGGAAATCTTGAATTTTACTGTCATTTCTGGCTTTTCTGCTAGCTTCCAACATACTTCCCCGGCTTCTTAGTGTTTTTAACTTTGTGTTTAATCTAATAACTTTACTGCAAATATTACCACTTTGGACATTTTGAAATCTAAGGTAGATTAAACATTACTGAAAAAAAATGGTAAAATCTCTGTATTGTAATGTCTGTTACAGGTTTGCACCATATAAACTTTGTTTAGGGGAAATTACAGCCGAGAAATGTAGCAAATAATTTTTCAACTATTTTATATTGCTGCATTTGAATTCCAAACCTTTCGATTTTGTAGTGTTTGATCCTCCAATGACCGTCTTCGTTTGGATATTAAATTAAAAAGTCACACGAGTTTCGTACTACTCCCATTTTGAGGAGGGGAACAGAGAAAAAGGAACGAGAAAAGGAAATAGTACTTGCACGTAGGACAAATTTGAACATTTTTTGAAATATTAACTTAAAAAGGTTGATAAAAATTGTTACAAATTAGATTTTTTTTTTTTTTTTTAATGACTATGGATGTTCGGGCCAATTTGCGCGCACCTCGACTAATCTCATTACAGTCCAGTACTCATCTCATTGATTTTGAGGGGACTCAAACCGGTGATCATTGGGGAGTAAATTCAAAGCCTGACCAATTGAGCAACCCCTCAAGGTTACGAATTAGATATTAAACAGATATCATCATATTCACATTTCATCCATCAGTTAAAACTTTGTTTGCAAATTGTAGTATATGCATGAAGATTGCAACATTTTCTGTATGTATATATTCAAGTATTCATGCACCTGTGTGACAACAGACCTTTTTCCTTAGGCTTTGTGCACAAAAACCTGTACATATATTTTCAGTATTATGTTTTTTCAGTGAAAAAAAAAAGAAGGAAAGTAGATACACAATACATCTAGCAGGGCAATGGAACAATCTTTTCAAAGAATTGCATTAAGCTAGAAAACCAATACAAAAGTCCTCCCATTTGAGAAGGATTCAGCATTTGATCAGAAGATGTATGATAGAGAACTTATAATAGATCTAGAAAACTAAGTAACTTTTATTGGAGGATTTTCGCTTTATTAGGGGTATTAAGATTCTACTATTGCTTGGAAATTCTTGGTAAAATTTGATAAAGTAATGATATTTAACCCCACTGGGTTTACAACCCCAGTCTAGGTGGTGTTAATATGATCTGGACTGAGGTTGTAACCCCAGTGGGGTTACATAGCATTACTCAATTTGATAACTTCTTTTCATGCGTCTTAGCATATAACAATATCAGAATTAATGGTTTTTTTTCTCTCAAAATGGAATCTTGCATGATATGATGAATCAGAGCAAGACAATGTAAATTTGCATCCCTATATCATGGATTCACTATAGATATGGTAGTATGAGATGTCGTGATTTACAACTTGTTGCCTCGTAAATGTTTGAAACGAAACTATAAACTATGACAAATGAGATGCGAACACATGTAGAAGTATACGAGAATTTGAATTACGTAGTTTTTCTACTCAAACTACAAAGAAAATGACCATTTATATGGCTCAAATGACTAATTAAGCAAGATAATAATCAAAATATGAAAGGGAAGATCAAAACCTACTCCCAGTTGGGTAACATAATTTGATTCGCATAAAATACTTTCTGCCATTGAGATTGAACAATCATCTCAATTAGGGTATCTGAAAAACAATTCATAATGCAAGGGTAGGTTAAGTAATCTCGACTAGTACATGAAAGATGATTTAATTTTCATCCTAGAAAATATTATACTTATCCATTTTTATTGGTAGGTAGATGAGAAAGAAGAGATAGAAGATTCTACTCCCCCTAAAGAAATTGTTTTCCCTAATTTTGAGGAAAATATGGTCACGTGACCAAAAAAAGGAAAATGTTTAACACAGAGCACAAAAGTTGGAATTTTGGTTGAAAAATACTTTTTCATGGAAAATGTTGGTAATTAAACACACCCTAATATTTATGTTTTAACGTGAGATTTCAAACTAAGATTTATGATTTAACTTGTTCGATATATATTTTTTGCTTGTTTTCTAAATCATAATTTTGAACCGAATAAAATCGAAAAAAGTGGTTTGAATTAGAAAGTGAAGTGATTTGGTCCGGTTTTAAAAAAAAATCCAAATAGTTTTAAGGGGTTTGGTTTGAAAGTTTGTGACAAACTGTTTAAATTCAATCGTATTTCCCCCCAAATCAAACGTTTTAGTTTTGTATTAATAAAACTAAGAAAAAATAATAAAAAGATAAGTCACGTAATCTTACTTAAATTTAGAAGAAAAAGAAATTGGCTCAATTTATAGCCTTCAAGAAGAGTAATGTTATTCATCCCCAGTGGGGATGAAAACACAGTTTATGTGTCATTAAATGATAGGTTAAATGAAAGGTAAAATTAAATGACTTATTTAATTTCACATATCATTTAATGCCACATAAGCGCCACATAGACTGTGTTTATATCCTCAGTGGGGATGAATAGCATTACTCCTTCAAGAATACTTCAAATTAAAAGAAGAATTAATGAAGATAGGGCTGTCCGTGGGTCGGTTCGGTTCGATTCTGAAGATACCCGAACCGACCCAAAACTTTCGGGTATTTAATAAATGGACCCGTCGGGTCCAAATATAAATATATAATCGTTCGGGTTCGGTTCGAGTCTGTTCGGTTCCGTTCGGTTCGGNTTCATTCGTAATTTTTACAAATTAACGTAGCCCAATTCCAAAAAAATATACAAAACTAGCCGTCCAATAAGATTAATTCAATGCATACAAATACCAAAAAGTAGATATTAATATTACAGCAAAACTACATAAAATATATTCATTTGCTTCAAATTAAAATGGGCTAATGGATTTTAAAATGATTTGGGCTTAAAAATTAAAATTATGAAATAATCTAATTTATTCAATTAATTTGCTAATTTCTATAGGAAAAAAATAAAATAATTTAATTAATTCAATATAAAAAATAAAAAAATTATTTAGTTTCGGTTCTTGTTCGGTTCTTCGGTTCTTGGTCTAGACCCGATACCCTACCCAAACCCATCGGTTCTCGATTCGGGTACCCGTTCGGGTATTTAATTTATGAAGAACCACTCGGTTCAGTTTGGGTTCGGTTCGGTCCGGTTCAGTTCGGGACTTTTGGACACCCCTAAATGAAGACACAAAGTACGAGCTGGCTCGCTTCACAAAAAGTGGACTTGGCTCGACCCACATACACTCTTCTTGGTGGAGTGCTTGCAGTTCATAATTCTTTTTTTTTTTCTTTTTTTTTTTTCCAAATTTGAACTGAAAAGTTATACCTTCAATCCCAAAGTATAATGAAGACGTCAATTTATAAGGAAACGATAAAAATTAAAAAAAAAATTATATTTTGTCAAAAAAAATTACAAAGTTATAAAATTCTTCATCCTTTATCCGGGCTAGGGACCAACGAAAATACATAGTTGGAGTTAAAACTGTGTACAATTTTAAAAAACAAATGAAATAAGTACAATAATAAAGGTTAAACAAAAGAAAATATACTCACAATTTTACTTTAGCAGTTTGCAATTTCAAGTCTGAAAAGATGTAGATGGTCATCATCTTCTCTAAGTCATTGGTCCATACAAACATGTGCTTCTATTTGGTTTGTATTATTGTCCAACTTACTTGATGCATCTCGATCTAACATATGGTCTCTCATAATAGATTCACTGTTTGTAAGTACTCATAAATTCATAGGTGCTATTAACAAGTCTTGATGTCACATACGGAGCGTACTATTCCCTTACAACAATGTTAGGTCGCTAACAGCCAAGTGTATGGTCTATATTATCGAATAGTGCACTAATGATGCTATCATATGTAGGTATTGTGCTGTATTTCTACCTATAAGCTTGCGTGTATGATGGTTATTTAGGGATTGTCGAACTAAGCAAGAGGAGAATGCTACCTCAAGCCACAAGACCCAAGGGATTTTACGGGCATTTCGTGAAAGTTGGTATCAGAGTATATCTACTTTAATGTGCGGTGTTGATTATGGAAGATCATTGACATGCGTGCTTACGGAAATGATTTTGGGACTGCAGCATATTTGCTAAATGGGTCAGCAAGCAAGTGGAATTGATGAAGAAAACTTTGGGGATGATGGATGATGAATCTAGGCATTTGCGAATGAGCCTATGTGCTTTGTTACTTTATTTTGTGATGCACGGTGAATATTTAGAGGAATTGTGTCAATACTTCAACATGTAGAGTGGCGCTGCAAAGACTGTCCATCTGAGGAACTAATAACTGAGAGGTATATGGTAAATGTTGATGTCAGAGACAATATCTATAGAGGGTACTACAGATAGATGTACAAGGGATACTGTGTGGAAGCTCTTCCATCGGGATATGGTTCAGCAATTGTGGAAATTCATGCAACGAGAGGGTTGCCCGACAATGCGAAACTCATTTCCCATTAGGAGGGCATTAGCGGTTGAATAAGGGAGAATACAGGTAGGCGTATGTGCTATACGATCGAAGAGTACACTAATGGTGTCATCATATGTTGTATTGTTCATCATCCTACACATCAATATGCATGTATGGTCATTGTTTCGGGCTTGATGGTGCTTCAACATGTGCAGTGGCACTGCGACAAAGGCCCTCCATTCAAAGAACTAATGGTTAAGGGGCATATGGTGAAGGTTGGTATCAGAGGCACTATGTGGATGTCCATCCATCAGGGGATGTTGTGGAATTTTTTGCAAGGAGAGGGTTGCGCAATGCGAATCTCACTTCTCGCTATGAAGGTGTTAGCAAATTGAATGGGGGGATAATGTCACATACTGAACATACTCTTCTTTCCATATGACAACAAGATCGTCAGAAACAAGGTTTATGGCCTATATTATCGAAGAGTGCACTTATGTTGTCATTATATATAGGTATTTTGCAACATCCTATTCAAAACATGCGTGTATGCTGATTGTTTTGAGCTTGTTGCCTAAGCAAGGGAGAAAGACAACATTGAGTTTTAATACCTCTGTGCATTCCACTATTAAAGTAAATTGAATAAGTTAATCCCTACTAATGTATCGTATCATATTGGTGCTCCAACTATGTGAGTTTCACATATTTTCAACCTTAGAAAAATTAAATCTACATAGTTTGAATCAAAGTAAAATTACACAATTCCATAATTCTTTTGATTGTAAGAATATATTTAATTCAAATGTAAAATTTAAACAATTGGGACGAGGATCGAACACTGCAGTCAGAAATAAACAATTGGTACACATCGAAAAATATTTCTAAAAATAGTTTTCATCACAATACATAATTGGAATAACGATGAATCTTTACCACTGCACTACGAGAAGGTTAAAGAAATATTACCAGAATTTAATTTGGGCAATCCGGTTTCACATTGCATAGAAGACTGGAAAAGTAATTAAATTCATATGCTGATCTCTAGTTCTTCTTCCTCCCACAAAAATGAAAGAACGGATGCCAATATTTCACTATGAACAAGTTAGTTTTTTTGGGAAAGTGGTGGTTTTCATATGCTGATCTCGAGTTCTTCTTCCTCCCAGAAAAATGAAAGAACGGATGCCAATATTTCACTATGAACAAGTTAGTTTTTTTGGGACAGTGGTGGTGGTGAAGAGTTCTTCCGGGGTGTTGTAAATGTTATCTGTTCAGTTGATCATTTAGACATTTTGCATAAAGGCGAGGTTTGATAATTGATTTTGACCTTTTTGGTAAGATGGAAGTAATCAGATTTGGGATTTGAAACTATTTGCAAAAAATTGAAATTTAAAATAAAATCACATCGAAGCGATTTGGTTCGATTCAAAATCAAAACGTTAATGGTTGCACGTGGACCTAAACCAACCAGGGGTTTCGAAAATATCATTTCTATTCGAATTTTTTTTTTTTTTTTTGGGGATGAATAGCATTTTTCTATCTGGTTAGTTGATCATTTAGACATTTTGCATAAAGGCGAAGTTTGATAATTGATTTTGACCCTTTTGGTAAGATGGAAGTAATCAGATTTGGATTTGAAACGATTTGCAAAAAATTGAAATTTAAAATAAAATCACTTCGAAGCGATTTGGTTCGATTCAAAATCAAAACGTTAGTGGTTCCACATGGACCTAAACCAACCAGGGGTTTCGAAAATATCATTTCTATTCGAATTTTTTTTTTTTTTTTGGGGTAATTTCGTTGTTCAATTCTAGTTTGGTCTTTAGTAATGGTAAAATTTGGATTTACATCTTCATTCTTGAATGACAAAATATAAGCAAATACATGCTTTTCATTTACCAACAGTTGATAATAGGGGCATAATTTTACATTACAATTAAACTTAACAAATTATTTTAATAATCAACACATCATAGCAAAGCGTACCTAACTAATTTACATTGCATCTTGGCTTTTGAGCACATCAAAATGAGCAGTTTCGTGCCACTGATTTGAAGGCATTAGCTCCTGGAAATTATCCACCATCTGTTGAGGATAAATGACTTCGTCAAATATCCCAAAACCTGGATCAGATCTTCTTGAGATTTCACCATAATTAGGATGCAGTTGCCCTACTACAGTTGGCACCACCTCAACTGGTGCATGATCCTCCACCTCTTTGACGGCGTCAGCCACCTCCTTCCCGTCACCGACATCATTATCCTCTACGAACCTGGGGGAGTACTCGGGCATATCAGCATCTTGTCCAGTGAGTTCTTGCACCAGGGACCTGAATTCCGAGGCACTAGTCTTGAACTTAATAGGGTTTGTTATGTACACAACCTTGACTGGCTTTTTCTTGTTCTTGGGCTGTTTCGACGCCTTCTTTTGATTGACTGTGAGCAATTTGTCCATGCTGATCGATTTTTTCTCTTTGAAAAGAAAAGGGCTTCAGATTTATAGGTTTGGAGGGAGGAAAAATGAGATTTCCAAGAAAGGAAAAGGGAGGGGAAGAAGGGAAAATGGAGATGTAAAATATGGAACTGGAATAAAATTGTTTTTTCCTTATAAAGCTAAATGGAAGCTATACGTACTGAATAATAAATGGAGTATTAAAACCATAGTCCTCGGCTCAATAGCTAAGCGCCTAATTTCGTACACTTGACTCTCGATAAAGTATTTTTTAGATTTTAAGTCAATTAAATTTTATTATTAATTATATACTTCACCATATTCATAGTTTTTATTCATACGTGGGAGTGACCGTCTGTCATCATCACTGCTGATATACATGGATAGGATTACTCAATTTCAATATTAATACTCTCTCCATCTCTTTCCGACTTTTAAGTTAAGACTCCTGTAGTCTTAGAATTGTTTATCATTTTTATTTGTTAAAGTCATGTTTGGTACACATTATTTTTTTCATTCTCATTCTTCTACTCATTTTTAACCACACATTTTTCAATAAAATAATATTTTATATCACGTCAATAACTTTTCATTCTTTTTCAATCACATATTCTCAATCACATCAATGGTAAAAATGCATTCTTATCTTCAAAATGTGCACCAAACATGGCTAAGAGTATAAAGGAATATTTTACTCGTATATACAGGTATATACTTTGGGTGACATAATACACGTGACATTATGTCATTGGCGAGTGAATTTTTTTCCACTAGCGAATAATAGAATGTCACTTGTACATTATGTCACCCAATGGTATACTTCAGTGTACATGTAGCAAAGTTCGTGTATAAATAGCCCCTAATGAGTTTAACTAAAAATTAAATTTTGATTAGATTTTGATAAAAATTGATAAATTTATAATTGAAAAGTTATAGATCCCATAAAATATTGGGTTAAAATTAATTGTTCACTTTAATTTAAATTTTAATCAATTTTTTTTAATTGAACCAAATAGAGACATAATTTAAATATCGATGTCGAATGTTTCAAGAATTATAACGCTACTAGCTTTCATCAATCTTGATTTAATTTTCGAATATCAGTACTTTAACTACTATTTTAGGATGTGGATTTGTAATCTAGGTTCAAATAGTGTTGAAGAAAATACTTACATGATATGCAGTGTGTTATATCTAACCGTTCAAATTTAAGGTCAAATAATGTTCTATATTTAAGTTTCGTTGTCATCCATTTAAACGAATTTTGCTAGGAAGTAGGAATTTTTTCCTGAAACCAGTGGAACCGGATTGGATCCGAATGAAATCAATCAGTACAGCTCCGATTTTGGTTCCTCTACTAAATTGATCGATTTTGGGATCATATATAGAGAATCGATCCATTCCGGTCAAATTTTCGGCATTGTCTTAAGAACCAATAATAAATTAGGTTCTCCCAAATTTCTCTTTTTGTTGGTGCATTGCATCAAGATGCACCATATATTTGGACACTAGACTCAAAATTATCTTAAGCCAAAAATTCACTTTTCATACGCTTCTTTTTATTTGCAACAAAATTTACACCTAAACAATATTATAAATAATTTACAAATTTATAGCTTTAATGCAACCTCAATAAGAAAAATACACTTTTAGTTCAATCTTTCGTAAAAATTAAAGTTTCTCGTTGTTTCCAAAGTGACCGATCATAAAAAATAAAAATATTCTCCTTGAAGATTATTGAAGATAATCAGATTATAAATATTACATGTATGAATTTTCTTAAGAAATAATTTTGGATCCAAATTTTACAATGTATGATGTATTTAATAGTTTTTTTTCCACCTTTACCTCTTGATCTTAAGTTTTGGAATTGATTCTTGTTTGTTATCTTGTTTAATTGATTTTTTGTATGGTTACATTACCAAAGTGACAAGTAATTTCATAATCTATTTTTATCAATTTTCAAATTGACAATTAGTTTCATAATTTATTTTTATAATTTTTTTAAAATAAAGAATCAAATCGGACCAAACAGAAGCAGAACTAATAGGTTCGGTTCCGATTCGATTCGATTCTGAAATTCCCATTGCATTTGGTTCGGTTCGCTTCCACTCCTAAATTTTGAGACATAAAACTTAACATCCCTGCAAATCAAGGAACTTGTTGAAAATAATATTAATTAAATGATATAAATATCATTTTATCTACTTATTTAAGCCGTTAATATCAAGCAATAAAATAAAATAACGAAAATAAGAGGTGGTAGAGATCATTATTAAATCAATAATCGATGTATGAATATTTGAACTGCTGTCAAAAAAATAAAAAAAATCTTTGTAAAAAGAATTTCAAGAACTCAACATCAAAGTTGGGTAATTTTTATTGATAGTCAATATATCTTTTATCACGTCACCAAAAAAATTTGTATAACATCAGCAAGATGTCAAAGAGATCTTACCATTATTTAAAAAAATAAAAAAGCTTTAAATAGTATTTTTAGGATAATATGTGGTTAAAAATAGGGAAAATTTTTTTTTGTGTAGAATATTTTTATTTGTGAATGTGTAGTTAAAATTAATTTTATATCAAATTATTAAATAAATTAGGATTATGCTACATGTATCGAATTTTTTTACAGAATCTTTTACCTACTACTCACAATGGAAATGTGGACCACGTTGTCGAAATTTTTAAATACAAACGTGTCCCGCACAGTACATGAGAGGGGGTAATTCATTATATACAAATGGATTAATCCAATAAATTAATGGATGTCAAACATGAATTTAATAAATTATTTATTTATTTATTTCAAATTATGCCAATTATAGGAATAATATCGTTGTCACGGTATTAATTGGATTCGACCCGCATTTAATTGGATCTATTTCATCTGACGGGTCTACAGTCTAATCACGCGTGTAAGCCTTCGAATGAGCGCAATTTAGTGTACCTAATTTCTCTACGTGGCGCACTCTAAGGATGCCGGCTCTTGTGATATCATGCTGTCCAAATCAATAACGTCACATTATCACATTACTTTCTAAGCCGAGCCGAGCTGGAGGCTCAGCTTGGCTTTTAGCCCTGTTTGGCACATTATTTGAAATAAGAAATTTTTTTAAAACTATGTGTAATATTATTTTATTGAAAAATATGTAATTAATAAAAAAAGAAAAAAATGAATTATAATTTTAATGAAACCAATCTGAGCTTATTATCTTGAATTGGAGTGGAGTGTTGAGCCAGTCACATGTTGCCCGTAATAAGAATAAGAAATTGTTTAATACTTGCTCAAAAGTGTGAAATATTTACTTTTAACTTTTAATCTACTTATTTTATTTAAATTAATTTGTAAAATTACTTATTTAGACGAAATTTTATTTTTTTAAGATAGAAAGTTAAAAAAGTAATTTTTAAATACAATTCCACATTATTATAGTCGTGAATATGTCAACAATAATATTCTGAAGATTAATTATGAGCATATATCCATTATAGTCAAGACAACACGAGCGAGCATATATAATGTGAGGCCCTACAATCAACTTCCAAATGGAAATGGCGAAGTAAATATACTTAAAATCGTTTTCGTTTGTTATTTCACATCAACGAAAACAATTATCAAATCAGACATGAATAGAGTTTATAGCGTGGCTTTACAACCAAAGAATGAAGAATACGTAGATTGGTGAATAAAATGTTAATAAAAAACAAATTCAGCTAGAAGTCAACCAATCAATAATTCTCGCACATCATTTATTCGTAAAATATTGATTTACCTCGAAGGCCTCATTTGAAATCTATAATTAGGAGGAGCCATTGAGCAAGTAGATATGCAAATTTTAGGAGCTTCCTCCCAAATAATCAATTCTACTCTTGCTCTTATTTGAGCATTAGATCAAATAGCATAGGATGAAAAGGTCCTAATTAGATGAGAGAAATTTGTTTATTAGTATTTTACCGTCAAAATGATATATTATGTAGATGGGACAAAATTGGATAGTATAAGATGGGAAAATTAAAATTTAATGAGTTATAATAATCAATTTTGTCTCATATCATATTATCAAATCTTTTTCCATAAAATTTATACTTGATAACTCGTCATAATATTACAATTTATCAATTTCCTTGAATTTTAATATTTTATATACTTTTTGTTGGAGAATATAATGGATTTGCATATTACCCAGCTTACCAAAATTTGGATAGAGTAACTGTAAAGATATGAGTGAAAACATAAACAAAAAAAAAAAAAAAAATGTCAAATCAACACCAAAAGAAATATATGCAAAGTCGGGACAAGAGTTGAACTCTTCGTCCTTAAGTCGAATTTACCTTTCAACGGTGTTCACGGATGATGGCAATCGACTCCCAAAATACAACGACAAACTTCTTGTCTTAACAATACTTCAAAACACAAGAACAACGAGGTTTTTGTACTCCTTCAAATGAAAATGGAAAAACAGGTTTTTATGCAGAATTTAGGTTAGGAAAAAATGAATTTAATGTTATGCTATGATTGCATATCATTGGAATGATCAAATGGACGTCCCAATGGTCTAATTTATAGAGAAAGAAATGTTGTGAGTGAAATGTCGCGCTTCAAACTCAGCAACATTTGTTAAGGGTCATAGCTTTTGTTGTCGCTAACTTATCGCTCGAACGTCAGAAACAGATACTATGTCGCTCGCTATCACTCGAGCGACAACCTCCTCGCTCGAGTGCTAAGCGAGCGATGGAGTTTGAAAAATTTTCAGCCAGTTTCCTCCTTCTTTCCAATTTTAGATCGTAATTTCTCATTCACCTGAAATTGGTTTGGAAATTTCAAATATACCACGATGATCTACTCGACAAGTAGAATGAGTTAATTTATTTATTTTCATAATTTGACTATCGGATCAAGTTCGAACATTTTGTCGAATTTACACACAAGTCACTTTTTTATGGTTTATACTTAACCAATTCCAACACTAATGCGCTATAATATAGGTGAAAACTTT